CATGTTGAAGTCAGAATTGGCCCAAGTTCAGGATCCTGGGAGAAAGAAACTTTAGAAATATTTCATGAAGAAGCATTTTGTTGTGAGTCCTGAAGGAAGAACTGTTCAGCTGATTGTTTATGAGCAATAAATGGGAATTTGCAGAGCCTGTGCCTGCCCTTGTCATAGGAGAAACAGAGAGTATCACCTAAATCACAATGGGAAGGGTTGTTTCTTGCAGTGTGTTGCTCTTGAAAACACAGAGGGTGGAGAATTTCTTTAATCACATCTACTGACCAGGATTAGTTACATGCCCTTTCATCTCACACCACTTTCCCTTGCCCTATATGTGATTTTGTTCTACTTTTTATGAAATTGCTGAATGTAAGTAATGTGGTTTGCTGAGTTCTGTGAGTAGGTGTATTAAATGATTATATTTGTGGAGGGATTTATTTGAGCTCCTGCTTTATAGGCAGTGGCTCAAAATCATTGAAGGGCCTGCGGGACTTGCCCCTGGCATCTGCAGTGAGAGCAGTGTGGTGGGACTGAGCTTTGAACTTGTGAGATCACTGTTAACTCTGGGTGGTGTCAAAATTAAATTTTGCAGATGGAGTTTGTATTGGAATATTGGTGGAATATTGTTCTGTCAACTGCATGTATTTAGTATGAGAAGTGTTGTCAAAGAAAAACACGGTAGAGGCCTAGGCTAGAGGGAGATTCTAACTGTCCCAGAAAGGAAGGACGTGTTCTCCTGCACATACGCTGTCACAGCACAAACTGTGCAGAGATTCCACATCACTTCCTGGGTTGAGAGGGGCTTGAAGTTTTGGAGGGCAGAAGCTCTGAGGTCAGATTTCTTCTCCACATTCTGCTGCCACCATGTGATACCCAACATTTTATGCACAGGCACACTGGACAGTGATGTAGTCACAGCCCATCCAGGCAATGCTCCACCACCTGGAATCAAGCTCACAGCTCCTTTACTCTTACAGTGTCCCACCAAAACCCCACACCAGTGCCCAGAAGACTTCTGGTTTGTCCCCACCCCAAGATCCTGTATGTGTAGCAACAACCCGGCTATTCATTACCCAGGCTTTTGTTTCACCCAATGATAATCTCATCTATCTCCATGGAACAGAGCATGAGCATATCCCAGCCTGGGCTGTTATGTCTAGCACTGGCACTCCAAACCAAGTGACTGAAGCAAAGATACATATAAATCAGTGGAAGTTTATTCAGACAGAGTTTGTAGATGTTCCTGGGGTGGGGGGAACCACAAATCACAAATGTATCTTTGATTGTTCAGAAGGGGCATTTGGGAACTTTGATACTTAAACAGGACAAGACATACAGAAGGAAAAAGTACTAGAGCCATGGGGACTGAGGTAAAATGGTTACCTTCTTTTGAAGCTTAGGAAATTTACATTTTGCATAGGATTATGTGAATGTCTGAACAAAAAAAGAGAGTGGAGGAAGAATCGATTAAGTAGATGTCCCTGCGTATGTAGAAGAGGAATTGATCTTGTCCTTCTTCTATACCTGGGAAGATAAAGATGTGGTAAACATTATTACTATGTAATGAAACAGATTTTAGTTTTAGGAGGTAGACTAAGCCTGATGACACAGAGATACATTTGTGTGTTTTTGCTTATAGGACCCCAGCAAGGAATACCTTTATGAATGACCTTTGATAACAGTGCTTTTAGAATCCTGAGAAATTTATCTTTAACTGAGGGTCTGCATGATACCTATTGTTAGTAATAGCTATTCATTGGGAAGTGGGTCTTGAATGACTCAGCCTCTTGGTTTCACCTTTGCTTTTGCATAAGGAGTTCCTTAGATTCTTAGTTTCTTTTACAGCCTCACCCAATATTTCCACAAGCTCTACAGTTTGTCCACCCGTGGGTCCATGTTAGCACCCGTCTTCTGATTATTTTCTTCCCCTTAAACCCTCTTTTGGGTACTCAGTGTGGCTTAGGTTACTTCTCTGGTAACTTAACTCTTGCCTCCTGGAATTATGCCATGAGTTCAAGAAAGTGACCCTACACCTGTCTGTTGCAAGAGTAAATATAAAACAGAAATACAGACTGAATACTCCAAGTTGAATATGAAGAGAAAGATTATTCTCTTCTTTTTGCTTAAAAATTTTAATTTAGAATATTTTGTGTGTAAATGTTTTCTCTGCCTCTTTGAAATATATGTAAATAATTTTACCAGATAAATAGACTTTTGACTTTTTTTAAATTCAGGACTATGTTTCTCTAGGACCCAGGTGTTATGATTTTGAATTATAAATAGTTGAAACGATAGCAACCTTTGCCAAAGTTTCTGATGTGGTGTAGGACCTGCCTTTAGAAGGCACTTGACTCCAAATCTTCTATCCTGTAGACATAAACTTCCTTTCTTCTTCTGAATATCATCAACTAGCAAACACAAATGTGCTTTCCAGTTTATAAGGTGAATTTAAGGTGAACTATATATGAGAAATGGTGCTGTCAGGGCTTGGCACCCATAGCTCAGTGAGTAGGGCTACACTAAGGCTGGCGGGTTTGAGCCTGGC